TAGTACAGGTGATGCTACATGCCTTTGTGAGTTCTTTTCTGTTTCATAAGCTGTAGTTTAGTGAATTCTGGTATTTTCAAGTGTGAGTATGTATTTTGTTTAAAAGAGAAATGCCTGTAGAATGCCATCAGACATGGAGAGCAGCTGTCTAGTGCCACTAACCCTCCCTGTACTCTGACACATGAGTACTTGATTATCACTTTTCTTCCTAAGCCTGGAGAACGTTTTAGAATTCTTCCCTACCAGGGCTCAAACAGGCCACAACAAATCAGCCATGTCCCCAGTTATGTAAAATATTTATCATCCCTGTTCAAGAGGATTCTTTAAAATGTTTTGGGGATTAATTAAAGATATGACTTTGAACTTGTTGTTGCATGATGTTATTCTTAAGTCTACTAAAAGATACTTTTAATCGAAAAAGTAATTGTGAGAAGATATATTAGAAGAACAAAGTAGAAAAAGGATATAATTTTGTTAATATGCCTGTATTAGGTTTTAGATTATAAGTTTAGAGAATTGAAGAATATTTAAAGTTGGATGTGTTCTTAATGATCATCTAGTAGCATTTCTTTCTTGCAGAGATCATACACTTGGATTTTTTGGTCTTTTTTTATTATATGTCACAGTGAAAGTAATGTGAATGAATAGTCTTAATGGGAAAGTTCTTTTTTTCCCCTTTTTTATTTTAAAGGGAATTTTCCCCTTTTTTATTTTATCTTATTTGCTTTTGACCATTGTATATGGTTATTGTAAAGTAAGATATTCAGAATTTAGTGATTCTGTGCATACGCATGTGCTATGTGGAATGCATATGTCTTGGATCCTTTATGTGGTGTGTACATGATACAGCTCAAGTAAAACATGCTTTATTGTTCATTTGGATTCCATTCAACTTTGCATCTTTTGCCCTCATTATTTCTACTCTTTTCTTGTCTAAATCTTTTTTTTTTTTTTTTGGTGGGAATCGAACTCACAACTTTGCACTTGACAGGCAGGCACATATGCTGCTGAGCTAAATATCTGGCCTTGCCTCTCTAAACTTACTGTCTTAAATTGTCGCCTTTTCTAATTTAAATAAAATTGAAAAAAAAAATAAACTTCAATCTTTATATGAGAGAACACTGAAGGGAACAGGATTCTTTAGGGGGATGTGTGTGGGGATCTTTCCTTTCCAATGAAGTTTATAATGTAGACCAGTGAGTTTAGGACCTAGAAGAGTGAGTGGTGGCATGCAGCCTGCGGTGGGGCATTCCTATCAGTGAAAACATCACTGACACACCCTGACCCCCTCAGTGTGATAAAGCTCTAGTTAATGATATGAGCTTGTGGTGATCTAGTCTTCCAGTACGCTGGGTACTGCATAGGGTGTGTATGTGTGTTTCTCACCAGTACTCCTATTAAAAACAAAGCCGAGTTGTTTGGCAAGCTGATGAACTAGAGAATTTGGGAAGGAATATTACAGTTCAGAATGGTTCCTTGAAGGACAGCTCTTACTAATAGGCATTCATTAATTTCTAACTTAACTAAAGAGTAAAAGGTATATTTAATTTGCTTTTGTTCTATTTTCTTCTTATGCTAAAGATTTGAGCTCCTTTGTTTCTTGTACAATATGTTAAAATGTTAATAAATCTATCCTAGCCTGAAAAAAAAAATTGTCTCCTTTTCTAGGAGAGCTTTCTTTTCCCTAATCCTTGTTAGCATTGAGGGTCGTGCTAGGTTAGCATTGTTATGATTTATTAAGTTCTTTGATTTTACTTGAGGTAGTTTTACTTTTTCGTTTCCAAATTAACATTCTCTTTCCCTGCTGTTGAGCTTGGTACAGACTGTGAATAGTGTGAGCTGAAACAATATTTTGTTTAAGCAAGCAGTTTGGTACAGGTGTTCATCGAGTACCTTCTCTGTGCCAGTTACTAGAGCTTTAAATGTGGATGAAACGGAAAAACGGACCTTGACCTGTTAAGACTATAGTGTAGTAGAGCACTTTAAAGTCTGGTGGAATTTAAATTTAAAACGTCTCCTTTAATAGTAACCAGCGAGATCATTGCAGTTCCACTAGGAGGAATGCTGCACTGTTCTGCATTTCAGTCAGATAGATCCCAAGTGCCTGGTACACTGCTTAATATATAGAAAGGTGCTCCGTAACTATTTAAGAATTTTAAATAAAATCTTTTTATGTCAGGATAGTCTTGCGGGTCTGTGAGCGTACTTGAAGTGCAGTGTATACCTTCTACTTCCTTGGTGTGCTTTTCTGCTCTTGCGTCCTCCAAATCCTTGCTCATTGCCATTTTGTATCTTCCACAAATAGGAATTTGGGTATACTTTTCTAAAAGTGGAATTCTTTATAAAGGTCAAAGGGTTTATGCATTTGTAGTTTTGATTGGGAGTGATAATGACAAATTGGCCTTCAGAGAATTAGAGTGTCATTTGCTATACTCTTACTAATGCTATATTTTTTCTAGATATTTGTAAAACCACACAAAAACAAATGCCTTTTCTGATTTCATAGGTGAAAAGTATCTCTTGTGATTTTAATTTGTACTTCTTCTATGTGAATAAATTGAAGCATACTAATGAGCTCGTTTTTTTTTTTTTTTTTTTCTTTCTTCGGGCCATAGCAGAAATGTTGGGGATCAACCCAGACCTAGCAGTTTCTAGGCACGCTTTCTGGCACTTTGCTGCACCCCAGTCCCTAGTTCTGTTTTCTTTTATGTGTTCTATCTTTATAACATTTGTGCAGTATTCTCTTGGGCTATTGATCCTAACATATTGATGTATAAGAGCTCTTTATATAGTAAGACAAACATTCCTTCTTGTATTTCATTGTGGACCCGCCTTATCTTTTACTTTGGTTTTTGCAGTTTTAGTTACCTGCGGTGAACTACAGTCTGAAACTATTAAATGGAAAATTCCAGAAATGAATAATTCATAAGTTTTAAATTTCATGATCCCTTTCTGAGTAGTGTGAGGAAATCTCATGGCATTCTACTTCTTCCCACCAGGGATGTAAGTTGTCCCTTTGTCCAGCATATCCGTGCTACGTGTGCTACCTGCTCTTTAGTCACTTGGTAGCACTGTTAGTTATCAGATCAGCGTTGTCATATTGCAGCGCTTGTGTTAAAATAATCTGTATTTTACTTAATAGCTCCAAAGTGCAGAAGTAGTGACGTTGGTAATTTGGATGTGCTGAATAGGTATAAAGCACTTTAAGTGAAAGGATGAATGATGAGATAAAATTTAAAGATACTATTTTATTTTTATGAGTTATTTTTGGTTTCTTACTATGATTAATTTAAAATTAAATTGTATCATAAGTACATAGGTGTATAAAGAAACAATATATATAGGATTTCCTTAGTTTCTGGTATTTACTGGAAGTCCTGGCATGTATTCCCCAATGTTTAGGATGGAAAGGGGCACTGTACCATAGAGTCAAGTTGTTTAGTTGCTAACACTGCTCACTCACCTAAAACACAATCTTGTTGGTCTGTATTTATTTTTTTTAATTCTTATTTTTTTGGTACTGGGGGTCGAACTGATGATCTCATGCTTGCCAAGCAGGTACTTAGGCCGCTGAGCTAAATCCACTGGCCATTGGTCTTTATTTTGATTAAGTCAAACTTACTGGTAAATTTGGGAAATCATGATGCTGCATCTTCTTTTCCAAGAGTATAGTTATATTTTTACACCTTTTATCACCTTTTTGGCCCTACAATATTGCTGTAAACATTTTTTATACATTGTTTGTTTATATATTTAGACGTCATTTATTATTGTGATTTAATTTTGCAACTAGCATCTTAAAATTTTCTCATTGAATGGAGTATATTTGCATCATTGACTTGGAGATAAATACTAATATCATCTGCAATTTTATTTTATTTAAGCGTTTCTGTATCTCTTATTTTCTGTAAGTTGGGCCACTCTGTTAGGCATCTCCTGAGGGTACCATTGGGTTGACTGTTCTTTCCAGAGTTAGGATAAAGCATTGTGGTGCCACAACTTTTTCTAATTCTTAACTATGGGAATGTTTCTAACATTTTCCTATTAAAAAATGATGATGCCTTTGGGATTGAGATGAGTCTGTGTTTTATGTGGAGAACATATTCATCTATTTCTATCTTGCAATGTATTTTTTTTTTTTCTTATCGGTACCAGGGATCGGTACCACGACTCTGTGCTTGCGAGGCAGGCACTTATGCTGCTGAGCTAAATCCCCAGCCCCCATCTATTTCTATTTTGTTGACGTTTTTCTCATGAAAGGATGATATATTTTGTCAATTATTTTTATGTCTCTAGAGTTATGACTCATAGCGTGTTAATTTTGTTTTGCTCTATTAATATGATGAATTTAGATATTGAGCTTATATTCTCACAATAAGTTTAACTTGGTCATAGACTGTGGTTTTAATATGTAGCTGCATTTGGATTCTGATGTTCAGATGTAACATTGGTTTGTATATGTGTTTGTTTTCTTTTTGAGTTTTGATGCTTATTTTCACAAAAAGAATTTGGAAATTACTATGCTATTAAAAAATTTAAAGTACATTGAAAATGTCCATTTTTTTGATTGTTTACTAGTGAATTCCTTGAAACTCTGTGCCTACATTTTTCTGTGACAGAATTCTTTGACAACTTCTCCTGTACTCTCTGTGCTCTGTCTCGCTCTTCTACTTCTTTCAAAATTGCTTTTGGTAATATCATCTTTAAAATCTCTGCATTTTATTCAGGATGTCTAATTTATTTATTTACAATGGATCAAAATAATTTTTTATCTTCCTTGATATCAATGGTTATTTCATTTTATTTAATGTTTTTTGATGAGAATATAGATGGCATGTTAAAAATATTTCATCTTTCAAAAAACCTACATAAAAGTTGGAAATATTTCTCTTAATATCCATACTTTACTAACATATCAATCATTTCTAAGAAAACAGTTTTCATTCTCAGATGTTTAATTTACACATTCTCTTTCTGATCACCTTTCTCTCTTTTGACAGACTCTGAAGAAGAGAGTGAGGAGTCTCATTTTGAAGGCAGAGATCCAGATACCTGGCATGTTGGTGTTAAGATCTCCTGGGACATAGAGACGCCTGGCTTGGCAATACCCCTTCAGCAAGGAGACTGCTATTTTATGCTTGGTAATCTCAGGAAGATAAAAATTAATCCTCTCATATCTGTATTTAAATTATTGAGTACATAGTTTTAATACATTTTTCGAAATAAGTGTTTTGAGTATTTTGTATTAATAATGGGTCATTTATATGAAAACAGATAACTAGTTACTTTTTTTTAACGATACTAAATTTTATGATACTTACTAAATATTAAAAAGTTGCTTTTCTGTATTCTAAATATTTAGTGCATTTGGAGTTCCCAAATATACTAAATTGTTTTCATGATTCTTCATCAGAACTACTAAGTCATCCAGCTAATCATTGTAACTTTGAACATTTCCCTTTCTGTATGTCTTTGTATTGAGAACATTTTTTCTAGATGTTCACCCCGACCCCCAATCAGCCACTTTGGCAGTAACGGGGATTTATCAGGGCCAGGGTCTTGCTATAATGCTTGGGGTGGCCTCAACTTCCTTAGCCTCCTATAGCTACTGGTGAGGTTAGTTTCCTGTCACAAACATTGGCCTGAGGACAGAATCTTTCTATTTGTCCTTTTTGTTTGGGAAACAGTGTTTCAATTGTGATTAGTTTTGCTGAAGCTATGGAGGGTAGGGGCTTTACTTGTGTTTTTCTGCACTATAAAGTTTTTGTTTTTCAGTGACATAAGCACCTGCCTTGCAAAGCAGACAGTCGTGAGTTCTATCCCTGGTACCGATAAAAAGGAAAAAGAAAAAAAAAGTTTTTGTTTCATTTTGGGACTATATGTTTCCTAGTGCAGTGTCAAGTGGCAAACTTTTTGCTCACAAGGATCCTTAGGGTTTATTCCCTCCTTTAGCCCCAGTGTGTGATTATCCAAGGTTTGTCTCATTTGAGTCTGTCTGGGGAAATGTTGGTTTTGGAGCCAGGAAGAAGCAGGACTTAACCCAACCCAGTATTTATGATAAGTACTAATTCCTAGTTAATTTGTATATTCCTCTGTATTTGTATAGTCCTCTGTATTCTGAGTACTAAATAAGGTCCTGAGGGGATATTGAAGGTATGTAAATCTTAGTCCTTTCTTTGAAGGAATTTAGAGTATGCAAAGCTCTTTGACATTTTCCAGTTTCTAGTTCTTTGCACATCAGTTTCAAGATTCTTAACTATATCCACCTGCTACCTGTACTTTTTTTCTATGCTGTTTCCAAATAAACTTTCTCTTTTTTCTTTCACTGATATAAATATATTTATTTACTTATACATTTATTGTGACGGAGATTAAACTCAGGGCTGTATACTTGCTAGGTAAGTGCTCTACCTCTTAACTACAAGCACAGCTCATTTTATTTATTTTTAAATTTTGAGACAGGATCTAACTAAGTTGCTCAGGCTGGCCTTGAACTTAGGATCCTCTTGTGTCAGCCTCCTGATTAACTGATGTTTGATACATGTGCCATTCATGGTTGGGACATATTTATTTTAAAAGGAGATTTATATCACTTGGGCATAGCTGAAAAGGTTTTTAGAGATATAAACATAGAAAAATTAAAACAGTATTAAGTTCCTGTTCCACCGCGAATGTAGCCATGTAATGGCTACACTGTTACTTTTATTTGCTGGTAATCTTTGTCTTTATTTAAAAAAAGAGAGATTAGTAACTATTAGAGAACTGTTAACTGTGTAATGATACCAGTCTGAGACTTTCTTCTTAATGTCTGCAGGAGGATTTGAAGGTGATTATGTAGAGACTCGTTCACACAGTGATGTAATGATACTTAATGCTGTGTCCCTTTACCTCTTAAATTCTTCTCATGGGGTGATGGTTCCTACTTCGTTGAACACTGATCTTAATCTGTTGCTTTCATTTGCATGTTGCATCAGCGTGCAGATGATTTACATAAGGAAGCTTAGTCCCTAAATAGTCTTCTAAGGGAGATGGCAGAGAGTATTTTTTTCTTACGTAATTTTCCCAAGGTCACTCCATTAGTATGAAACAGAGCAGGCACAGGAGTATACGTGCAGGCTCCCTGTACAATGCTGTTTCCACTCTAAATGGAACCATTTCAGATGGATCCCAGATACACTGACCTTTCTCTCTGGAATGGTCTTAGCCTTGAGATCATTCTCTTCCCCTCTCTCTTCTCTTAGACCTCAAGAACTGAATTTTCTGAAGTGTCTACCTCATTGTTACAATCATTTGTAGGCAGAAATATTATTGTTACATTTATATGTACAATATTAATTTGTTTATTTGGCTTGAGTACATGGAGGTGTCAATTTCAGCCAATAAGTGACTTTCCTTTGGATACTTTTTACATATCTCATAATGTTTTTTTTACTAGTACCAGTTTGCAGTACATAATGATTCCATTCATCATTGGGAGCTAGAACATGCACATACACATCTTGGTTCTTTTTGAACTCCCCCACTCTGAATCTCTTGGTCTCTTTCCAATTCATGAGTTTCCATTAGTAATTCACAATTCTAAAAGAGATGAGAACCCAGATGTGTTGGCAATGCCTACAATCCTAGCACTCTGGCAGGCTGAGGCAGGAGAATTTGAAGTTCCAGCCCAGCCAAGGCATCTTAGTAACTTAGTGAGTAACTTGTCTGAAAAAAAATTTTTTTTATTTTTTAAATTTTAAAATACTAGGGTTGTAATTCAGTGTGAAGGCCTTGGGATCAACCCTTAACCCTGAGAGAAACTTGAAAAAAAAATAGATGAATGCCAAAATGATGCCTTTTTAAAAAAATTTTGAAGGTAGTAGAAACACAATAGAACAAGCCAGAACAAAGCCAATCGAGACAGTGTGGTGAAATTGGTACAGAACTTCAGAGCAGGTTACCAGGATAACAGTAATAGGTACCATAGAATATCGTTATCTTCACAATGTTTGTCTAGCCAATTAGGTATAGTGAAATCAAACCAAAGACAGAACATTATAAAACTAATCGAAAGAGAATAAAACAATTAATCATAATGAAACAAAACAGTGAAACTAACATTTCCCTTCAAACAGAAGATAGAAGGAGATCCCCTATATTTGCTATATTGCACACAGTCATCTCCCAAGAGATGCTCAGACCTCTGTCCCCAGTTGTTAATGGGGGTGGGTGTTTGATTCCCAGCCCACACGCTGGAAGGCTCACAGGAGAGGCTGACTGAGTCTGTTCCTGGCTCATGCCCGAGAGAGGCGCTTACCAAGACGGCGGCGAATTGCTTCTTTATGTAGTTTCCATGGTTCCACCATGGCCGAGGCCCAAACTCTGGGACCACTGACTGGGTCTCCTCCTGGCTCATGCTGGAGGAAGGTGCTTCACATCTTTTTTATTTGAGACAGAATCTAGCTATATATCCAGAATGATGCCTTTAAAATAGCTTCATTATTTTTCTATGTATAAAAGTAATAGATGTGCATTGTAAAAGTTTGTCTATCTCCTGTATATTTAGTAGCATCTTATGTGTTTTCTTGTGATTACAAAAGCAGTATGTGTTCATTATAGAGACAGGAAATGCTAAAAAGCATAAAGAAAGAAAAATATGTAAATTAGGGTTTATGCATTACTGGTGTATTCTTTTTCAGTCTTTTTTGGCTTTGCATATGTGTACCATTGTGGTAATATGAATATGAACCACATTTATTGAGGACTAACAAGTCAGCATTCTTTTCATATGTGTATGTGGTACGGGGGATTGAACCCAGAGTGCTTCTACTGAGCTGTATCTCCAGTCGTTTTTTGAAACAAGGTCTCACTAAAGAGACCAACTTGCCCAGGCTGATCTTAAATTTGACATCCTTCTCCCTCACCTTCCCAGAATGCTGGGATTACAGGCATGCTGCAGAAGTTAAGTATTCTTTTAATGTGTTCAGTAGCAAATACTAAACAGACACTATTTTTGCAAAATGGAAATTTGAGTGTGGACTGATGTACTTAGCCATGGTTACTCAACTGGAACTTGTCATTTTATCCCACTGTGGGGCCACATCAGCTGTCCCTGGTAGATGGATGCCTGGATGCCCTCCTCACCTCATTCAGGCCCTGACCTTTGCTCTGGGCTTTTATGCCTACCTCCCATCTCAGCATGATGCTGTCGGCTCACCTAATGGCTTCTCAGGAGTGGGAGAATAAATGATGATTTTCTCTTCTATTTCTTTTAAAAATTGAGCTTTTTCCAGAGTTTAAGAACGGGATTAATAATGAAAGTATTAAATAATTTCTTTATTCTTTTGAAATATATAAAAAATATGCATTTAAAATTTATGTTGCTCTCTTATTCATGATAGGTGATCAACAGCAGAAATTCATGTTATTACTTTTTAGGCGCTTCTATACAAATTTGAAATCTCTTGCTTTTTAAACTCTTGTCTTCAGACAGAGGTGAAATAGGTGCTTCCCTGCCTAACTGTGATAGATACAGGATAGTGTGTTCCAAATGTACATTTAGAATATATTTCCTAATCAAGATGTCATATACAATTTCTAAAATGAACCTTACTCTCTTTTTAAAAAACAAAAATAAAAGCAAACATAATCTAATACTGTTTTCTCTTTACTTTTTAAAAATTCAAATAACAAGGAGTCCCTTGGAAGGATCCCAGCCCTGTGCTGGTATCTGGAGTCTGAACTTCATAACACTTATGAAAAGGAAACAGTTTAGCTCAATTTATAATAATATATTGGTCTGCAGAGGAAGTGCACACGAAACCTTGCTGTCTCAAGTAAATACTCCAGGGGTGTCTGATGGGGAACGTGTCGGGTACCTGTAATAAATCCACTGCCCGTGGAAGCAAGTGAAGGCCCTGCTGGCAGTGCCTGAGGACACGCTTAACTGAAGGTATCACGGTTTTACTTTTAAATTGAAATTTTCGCCCAAATCTCAGAGTTAGGCATGACCAGATTTGCAAACAGATTTGTAATTTTCACTAATTTTCCAACCAGGACTTCAAAACACACTTAAAGGAAAAAACAACAAAAAAAATATACTGTGGTCTTTCTCAGGGTGGGATGATTTACTTTGCCACAGCTGTTTTCCATAGACTGCATG